CTCTTTCCCTTCCCTGATATGCCCTTTCCACAAAACACCGGCCCTGGGTTTTTGTTCCCATGATCCGAAAACCCTGTATCTTTTTCCCGTTCCCCAAATTTTTATAATGTAGTAGAGGGGGCCTCGAAATCTTTTTCCGTCTTTCTTCACCAAAAAGGAGGGCCCTTAGGGCCCTGCCATCTCCCATTCTCCGGTGTGCCTAGCCACCTGACCCTTTCTAACTGGGCTGGAAAAACTGTTGTAGTACTGCTTTTCCGTACCTCAGGTTTGTGTTTTTGTCCTCCCTTTTTAATCCCAATTTTATTTTTTTACCATCCAGTGAAAGCTATTAACCCGTTCTCTTGGTGCAAATGGTTTAAACCCAAAAGTTTCACTGCCATAAAGCAGATGCTAAAAAAACCAAACCCGATAGACAAGGGTTTTTGTTTCAATTGTGACTTCTTTTCCCCCAAAATCTCTTTGAAAAAAAATTCTCATTGTTTTGCTCCCTTACCTTCCTGTGTATTTCTTGGTCCAGCGATAGTTACTATTTCTTGGAACCCCAGATAGGTGAATGGTCTTTACCGTCGATGTAGACTGTAGGTCTGTCATTTGACATACCTTTGAACTATAACCTTTGTCTTCTTTTTGCTGACTGTTAGTCCAAATTCACAGCACGCAACAGCATAAGGCAGATAGTAAACATTGCCGCTCCTCCTCTAAAAGGGTGGTTTATTGTGGCTCATCTGCAAACAGCAGCTCTCTGATAAGTTCCTTTCTTATCCTGGTTTTTGGCCTTCAGTCCTGCGAGATTTGTAAAGGTGCCGTCAGATCGAGATCTTCACTCTTTCCCCTAAAGCAAAAGAGCGGGCATCATCAAAATAAACGGAATATACCCTAAAAGATGATAAAGAGCCCACGTACCTCGGAGACCAGCATTTGATGACAGGTTGACTGGCAGGAAAACATATCAACAAGGTAACAACCAAAGCCAGGAGGAAAAGACAGCCATACTAACAAAAAGAAGTGGAACCACGATGGGAGCCAATGGGTAAATACTCAATAAAGTTTACACAGCAGGAGCATACTTTCCACACTTGGAATATGCGTCAACTGCATGGTGTTCTGCATCTAGTACCACATTAAAAGGAGTTTGGACAAAGTGCCAAATCAAGCGCTCAAGTCTCAACAGGAGGGGGAAGAAAATCACCTACACACACACACACCCCCCCCCCCCCCCCCCCCCCCATATTAGAAATGGAGAAAGCTGGGAAAACACAGGCACTGAGAGAGCGCAGAGTATACAAAGTTTGCAAATACAAGCTGAAAAGTTCCTCAGTATGGCCAGATCACCCGATGAAAAAATAGATTTCCAGAACCTAAGCCGTTGGGATGGTTTTAAAAAGAAGCAGCTTTATACACCAAGCAAAAAGAATATGTAGACAAAATGCTTGGACCTTCCAGAAATTGGTTGTCCACTTAACAGTATTCCAGAACAAACCCCATGGAAGATAGAAATGCCAACAGTACACAAATCCAGCACAAATGTGAAAGGATATTTGACAAGAAAGAACAAGATAGAGTACAACGCAGAATGGCGACCCTCAGGTTTATATGGATGAAGAATACCCCACAAGACCAATGGTCCGAAATCTATACAGTTTGGGTCCTCAGTAAAGTACAGTTAGAAATGTGTGGTGCTGGAGTGTACATAAAATTCCCAGATGGTACTAGGAATAAGCCCAGCGTACCAACCGGAAAGTACTGCCATAACTATGATGCAGAAACTCAGGCTATCAAGATAGCAACAGAGAAACTGCTCAATACCAGTCTTGGCTCCCAGTATGTGGTAATGCTGACAGATACAAAATCAGTACTTGAAGCACTCCAGTCTAGGAAACTACCAGAATTGCAAACACTGCTGACACAACTTAGCCTTTAGCAAAGAGTTGTAATGCAGTGAATACCATCACACTGTGGAGTGCCTGGAAATGAGAAAGCTGATCAACTGGCAGGAGAAGGTGCGACATAAGTGCAGCTGGATGTACCAGTAACATACCACCAAAAGAAAAGAATCATTAAATCAATCAGGAAACCACCAGCCCCAGCACAAGACTATTTTTTTTTATTGACAGATCATAGCAAGTCATTATCCTCTGCCTCAGAACAGGGCACAACCGATTACATAACCACATGTACACAAAATTCAAGATAGGCGTATCAGACATGTGCACCTGTGGAAGCGTGGGTGCGCCCAGACAGCAGAGATGCATAACTCCAGGAACTGCACCGAATTTTGACCATTAAGGCAAAACCTTTTGGCCAGAAAGAACAACAGTGGAGCATAAACTCTATGGACCACTAAATGAATTAACAACAACAGTGAAATTTATACAAGAGACAAAATTGCTGATATAGACAACTTATTTCGGGCGAACGAAAGAAGAAGAAGAAGATCGAGAATGAATGAAAATACCACCCTCCTGATCTCAAAAGGCATGTGTCAAAAGAAGTGAGAAGTATATTCCAAAGAGAGCGGGAGCAAGTACACGCCCTGCTTCACTCCATTTTTAATTTAAAACTCCTCCGATGTTTCATCATCAAAGTTAATTGTACCTTTCCTACCTGTGTGGAATGACTCAATAATGCTAAGTAGAGTGGGTGGACACCGTCTTCTTCAGTGCGTTGAACAGACCTTTTCGACTAACCAAATCAAATGCCTTGGTAAGATCAATAAAAGCAACATACAGTGGTTGATTTTGTTCGCAGCATTTTTCCTGCAACTGTTGTAATGAAAATATCATATCAGTGGTAGATCGGTTCCCACAAAAGCCACTCTGGGTAAACGCGATCCCCCAGGATCTGGAGTCTTTGCAGAACAATTCTTGCGAGCACTTTTCCAACAGTACACAGCAGTGATATTCCCCTGTAGTTATTGCAGTCACTCAGATCACCCTTGTTCTTGTACATAGTTATGATGTTTGCATCTTTGAAATCTTGCGGAACCTGTCCCTCTTGCCAGTAGAGTGTTATTAGCTGATGGATCTGTGGGGTTAGAATGTCTTTCCCACTCCTGATGATTTCAATAGGAATTTCATCTCTGCCTGGGGCTTTCCCTGAAGCTAATTCGCCAATAGGATTCCCAGCTTCTACAACTGTTGGAAATGTGTCCAGATAGTCAAGAGTTGGTAGCGTTTCCATGGCATTAGGAGCACCATCTGCTAGTTTAGTATCAACTGCGTTAAGCTCCAGATAATGTTCCACCCATCTATCTAGCTGCTTCTTCTTGTCATTAATAATCTCCCCATTCAAAGTCTTTAGTGGTGCACTTTTTTTAAATTGTAGGACAGATGGCCTTCTTGATTCCCTCACACATGCCTCTAACATTACCACCACAGCTAGCATTTTGAATACTTTCACATAACTGGATCCAGTAGTTGTTAGCACACTGCCTAGCTACCTTTGGCAAATGATTTCTAGCTGCTCTTAATTCAATGAGAGTGTTCCTTGTTGTTCTTTTCTTGTTTCTGAGGAATATTGCCTTTTTGCTGTCAATTAAAGGTTGGAGTGTCTGGCTATTTGCTTCAAACCATAGACTGATACAGCTGTTTTGTAAACAGTCTCCCTAATTTCATCTCATTTTAGGCTTGCTGTAGAGTTATCCTGGATATCAGTGAAAGCATCTTCAAGCTGTTGTTGAAACTCAAACCACTTTTCAGGGTTTTTAGTTTTGGAAATATTTAATCTAGGGATATATTTGTTTTTTGAAGTGAAAATTCTCTTTGGTTTCATCTGAACTCTTGCAGCAACTAGGGAATGGTCAGTATCACAGTCAGCACTGTGGTAGCTGCGCATTAGTGAAACACAGTTCAAGTGCTGCCGCCTTGTTAGAATAAAGTCCAGCTGGTGCCAGTGGCCAGATCTTGGATGTTTCCATGACACCTTATGGCGGTCTTTAGTTTTGAAAAAGAAGTTTGACCCTACACGAGCATTAAAATCACCAAGTATATAGATGCTGTCAGATTTAGAAATTGATTTTACTGCGTTATCTAGTTCTTCATAAAAAGAGTCCTTTGTGTCTTCTGCTGATGTTAGAGTGGGTGCATATGCAGTAACAAGGGTAATAAAACCGCTTGAGGTAGAGCATGTGTCTTCTGCTGATGTTAGAGTGGGTGCATATGCAGTAACAAGGGTAATAAAACCGCTTGAGGTAGACAATCCTAGGGATAATATTCTGTCACTTCCTCCAGTTGGACTCTCAACTGATCCTAACAATGAATTCTTTACTGCAAATCCCACTCCATACATCCTGATTTCTTCCTAGCCTCTGCCTTTCCAGAAAAATGTATAATTATTTTCTCTATAGACCCATCCTCTGGCAGACGGGTTTCTTGTAGGCCAGCAATATCTATGTCACGTTTGTTGAGTTCGGCATCAATGATAGCCGTTTTTCTCACATCATTAATGTTTTCCAGGTCAGTGGAAATCCCTGGACACATGGTCCTCATGTTCCAAGAGCCAAGTTGAAGCTTGGGGTTAGGTTTCTGTTTATTGCCTGGTGCATTGGGTTTTACAGCCTGCAGTTGGGATTTTGTCCTAGCTCCAAGCACCCATTGAAGCATACAAGCTGTGGTGGATCAACGCCTTATTGGCTGCGGGTTGATCGGTGACATTCGAAGATGTCTCCCACCGTAACTGCTGCCTCTTGATTTGTTTCCGAGACCGATTAAGGCCAGGGAGAAGTTCCCCAGGGATGAAGTTCCCCAGGGATGAAGTTCCCCCTCTCCATAGCACAAAGCCTGGGCAGTATTGTAGAGGCCATATGGTGCCCATGCATAATGATCCCTCCCTCGACCTGCCTTGTTTACACTCCAATGGAGTTATTCTACATTCATTAACATCACTTGAACCAGATGTAGCTGTATATAAAAAATAGTGCTTTATGCAAAAAGCCACTTGTGCTTAACAAGTACAAATAACAATAGAATAACCTTTTTTTTTATTATCATTCATTTTCAGGAGCCACCTCCTCCCTACTCCAGTACAGCAGCTCCTCTGACTGCTCTTGATATAGTAGCTACTCCATCCTCATCGTCATCACCTTCTGCACCAATGATTGAACCAGTACGAGCACCCAATGTGACGTCCATACCAGTGGGAGGTCCCAAACGTGGGCACGGTGGCCAGAGAAATAAAAATGAAGCTAAAGTAGGAAAAGGCAAGAAGAAAGGAAAAAATAATGTAGAAATGCAGCGATTATAATGGTATTTGTTGATGGCTTCATTGTGGTATTTCTTTGAATTAGAATCCTGAATCACAAATAGTTTCATAGAATTTGGAAATGCTTGTGTTTACATGCCAGGAGAAACATACATTGTCAGTGTGTATAGTAAGAATGTTTGACCTGACGTCACAATGGTATTTAATCATGGTAAAATCTATCATTTCTTATGTTCTTAACTTTGATGGAAGACTTGACTGTTTATGAATGACAGGTTCATTTGCACTAGAAAAGCTCTGATTTGAGAAGAAGAGAAAGACAATTATTTTTTAATGATATAAATGCCGAAAATTTTTATGATTGATTTATGATGTCTCAGCTTCTATTATAATTTTCTGTAGCAGTTTATTTTGGATCATTCTTACCAGGCATGTATTCAAGCTTAGCTAATAGCTGAAGTGTGTAAGGCTTATCTATTTTTTTATTTTTCACAAAGAGCAATGGGCGTCATTTGATTGTTGTGATTAGCACTGCATATATCTTTAAATTTTATCTTGTCAGACTAGCAACATCATTCTAATCACCTTTACTTTCCAGGACATTTCCTAGAGCACATTGAAGGTTGGGTTGATATTTACCTCATGTCAGTTATAAGAAATCCGTCTCAGAGTGAATTCGAATCGAAGACCATCAGACCGTTACCTGTATAAGTCTATGTCTGTATAGAAATAACTCCAAAATTGAAGTTTTGATCTTCTAAAACCAGTGAAACCTGAGCAAGGAATCACGTGTTTTGAGGCAAGGAACAGGAAAAAATAGTAGCAGTGATGACCAAATGTACACATGATGTGGGTTATACAAGACAACATTTCATAATCTGTACTGAGATAGTGACCGTGATGACCAAATATACACATGATGTGGGTTATACAAGACATTTCATAATCTGTACTGAGATAGTGACCGTGATGACCAAATGTACACATGATGTGGGTTGTACAAGACAACATTTTATAATCTGTACTAAGATAGTGACCGTGATGACCAAATGTACACATGATGTGGGTTGTACAAGACAACATTTCATAATCTGTACTGAGATAGTGACCGTGATGACCAAATGTACACATGATGTGGGTTATACAAGACAACATTTCATAATCTGTACTGAGATAGTGACCGTGATGACCAAATATAAACATGATGTGGGTTATACAAGACAACATTTCATAATCTGTACTGAGATAGTGACCGTGATGACCAAATGTACACATGATGTGGGTTATACAAGACAACATTTCATAATCTGTACTGAGATAGTGACCGTGATGACCAAATGTACACATGATGTGGGTTATACGAAACAACATTTCATAATCTGTACTGAGATAGTGACCGTGATGACCAAATGTACACATGATGTGGGTTATACAAGACAACATTTCATAATCTGTACTGAGATAGTGACCGTGATGACCAAATGTACACATGATGTGGGTTATACAAGACAACATTTCATAATCTGTACTGAGATAGTGACCGTGATGACCAAATGTACACATGATGTGGGTTATACAAGACAACATTTTATAATCTGTACTGAGATAGTGACCGTGATGACCAAATATACACATGATGTGGGTTATACAAGACAACATTTCATAATCTGTACTGAGATAGTGACCGTGATGATGACCACATGATGTGGTTGTACAAGACAACATTTTATAATCTGTACTGAAAGTATACTAAATGTACATGATGTGGGTTATACAAGACAACATTTTATAATCTGTACTGAGATAGTGACCGTGATGACCAAATATACACATGATGTGGGTTATACGAAACAACATTTCATAATCTGTACTGAGATATTGTTAGTGACAGAAGATGGCAAGAAAATATGGAGTACTGTAGATTATTGTCAGTGAACGTAACCCCCTTTCTCCACTTTTAGTGCCTGCATTTAGTTTATACACATCATGCCTGGTTCTGTCTTGTGTTGTTATGTTTTACAGAGAGATCACAAATTCTAACAATTTTTTTCTGAGTATTAAGTTTCATATGTAACTTATAAAAATGTACCTTTTGTGTCCATCTTGTCATCATGGTGCCCAGTTTAAAACATGTGTGCATATACAATTTCTGAACAATTTGTTTTTTCTTTTATTGTTTCAAATAACACACATTAACAATTTAACCCCTTTTGTCACCCTGGCAACTGGTGTCAAAAATATGCATACCTGTAGTTTCTTAACACATTTATTTTTGTGTCTTTATACATTTTTTATTTGGTGAATATGAACCATTATACATTGTGATGTATTACTTGTCACTTTTGTAAATAATTTATTTAATATAGTTATGAAGGATGTAAGGAAGATTCTTAAGTTTGCCTGTTTGTCTTCTTGTGTTGTTATTGTCATGGCACAGATTGTCAGAATAATCGAGGACTTTACACACTTTTTCTGATAAGAGCTTTAAGCTTTGTGCAAGTGTTGCTAATTTGTTCAGCTGTTATCTGTATGTCTGTTTCACAGCAGTTATGCTCAGCATGCAGCTCCTGCTTTCAGTGTGTTCGTTTTTTTGTACACTAATGTATAATGAGGTGCATGAGATTCCTAACACATTTGGTACATCCGATGGAATCTGTTTACCGTGAACGATAAGCAGCAGTCAGAGTAGCTGGTAAAACATCAGATAGATTTGAGATGCAAAGAGGAGAAAAAAGGCTACATTCTTTCTCCATCCCTTTTTAATATATATGCAGAAAATATAAGAAATGCAATTAACGAAGAGGCAGGTGACTGTTTAAATCCACTCAAAATTGAAGGTAGAACTGTCCCAGAACTTATATATGCAGACAACACACTTCTACTTTCCAACAATGTACAAGGCCTAGACAAATTAATTTTGACTCAAAAAGCACATTGAAGAAGAGAATCTGAATCTGAAAAAAAAAAAAATGGAACAATTGTCCACAATGAAGGCAGCACACGCAACCACTTATTAAAATTAAAACAAAGAAATGGAAAATGTAAAGGATTTAAAATATTTAGGCTCAGTACTTAACTACAACAGGTACTGCACAAAAGAAGTCCAATAAAGACTTTTAGCAATGCAGAAGCTAAACAACATGAAGAACCTATGGCATAGCGCCTGCAAGCATGTTAGAGTTAAACATTTTGAGACCTGCTTCTTTCCTGTGGCAACTTATGGACGTAATTCATCGACTCTCACTTTGTCTTTGAAGAAGAAAATCAGAGATTTTGAATTGAAGTGCTAAAAACAATTCTTAGAATACAGTGGACTGAGAAGAGAAAAATGTTCACCCTGGATTACCTGAACCTAAACAGGAACTATGGTGATGGTGGTCTGGAGAAAATGGTGATGGTGGTCTGGAGAAAACGGTGATGGTGGTCTGGAGAAAATGTGATGGTGGTCTGGAGAAAATGGTGATGGTGGTCTGGAGAAAACGGTGATGGTGGTCTGGAGAAAACGGTGATGGTGGTCTGGAGAAAATGGTAATGGTGGTCTGGAGAAAATGGTGATGGTGGTCTGGAGAAAACAGTGATGGTGGTCTGGAGAAAACGGTGATGGTGGTCTGGAGAAAATGGTGATGGTGGTCTGGAGAAAATGGTGATGGTGGTCTGGAGAAAATGGTGATGGTGGTCTGGAGAAAATGGTGATGGTGGTCTGGAGAAAATGGTGATGGTGGTCTGGAGAAAATGGTGATGGTGGTCTGGAGAAAATGGTGATGGTGGTCTGGAGAGAATGGTAATGATGTTCTGGAGAAAATGGTGATGGTGGTCTGGAGAAAATGGTAATGATGTTCTGGAGAAAATGGTGATGGTGGTCTGGAGAGAATGGTAATGATGTTCTGGAGAAAATAGTGATGGTGGTCTGAAGAAAATGGTGATGGTGGTCTGGAGAAAACAGTGATGGTGGTCTGGAGAAAATGGTGATGGTGGTCTGGAGAAAATGGTGATGGGGGTCTAGAGAAAATGGTGATGGTGGTCTGGAGAAAACGGTGATGGTGGTCTGGAGAAAATGGTGATGGTGGTCTGGAAAAAATGGTGATGGTGGTCTGGAGAAAACGTGATGGTGGTCTGGAGAAAATGGTGATGGTGGTCTGGAGAAAATGGTGATGGTGGTCTGAAGAAAACGGTGATGGTGGTCTGGAGAAAATGGTGATGGTGGTCTGGATAAAACAGTGATGGTGGTCTGGAGAAAATGGTGATGGTGGTCTGGAGAAAACGGTGATGGTGTTCTGGAGAAAATGGTGATGGTGGTCTGGAGAAAATGGTGATGGGGGTCTGGAGAAAATGGTGATGGTGGTCTGGAGAAAATGGTGATGGTGGTCTGGAGAAAATGGTGATGGGGGTCTGGAGAAAATGGTGATGGTGGTCTGGAGAAAATGGTAATGCTGGTCTGGAGAAAATGGTGATGGTGGTTTGGAGAAAATGGTGATGGAGAGTGCAGTTTCCAGAAAACAAGGCAGAGACTGACCACCGTAAAGTGTGGATACAGGGCATTGCAAATGCATTGGCCATGAAAGCAAACAAGACGGGAGAATTAGCTAGCGAAAGAGAGACTTTCAGGTGTGCCATGAAGAGAGCCACGTTCTGTTATGGGCAGACTGGTTGATTTATTTATATTATGAAGATTTGTGAATCTTTGGTGTGCTTGAAGGGTTAAGTTGCTACAGGGACATACATTCTGGGAATTTGTAAAGGCATCAGGAGTTTCATTTACACACACAGTGGACACATTCATGTCAGCCATATTTATGAGTCAGTGTTTAACAGTCAGGATATTTACAAGCCAACAATATCGGCTAACACTGTTTAAAGGTGAGATGTTACACATATTTGCAAATAGGTTCCTGTGAGAATGTGGTTCACATGTGCTCTCCACACCAAAAAAATGTTATCACGGGAGAAAACAGGAGAAAACAATTTTTGACGATCTCCAGGACTTTTTATTGTTCATGTTTTCATTAGACAGATTTCATTCTTAAAGAAAGAATAATTATATA